GTGGGGACCAGAAACACCTCTGGGACGTGTCTTTAAGCCAAACTTCCTCATGGCAGAGCACATCCACCCTCCCCACACACTCCACCTATGACTCCTGCAGGCTCTCGGGTGAAAGTGAAAGTGAAACTTAACTGTCTGCTGAACTCTCAACATTAGTTCTCACTCAGTGAAGCTCTTTTCAGATAAAAAAAAATACCTTTGAGGAAATGTATTTTCAGATGCCAAGTAAACTGCATCATAGCGCAGTGTTTATGTGACAGAGGGCCTATTGACAGGAACAATGGTTAATTACCTCCCATCTTTAGCTGATACCTTGTAATTTAAAATATACAAAGAGGGAAAAAAGCAAGTATGGTAGCTAATCTCCAACTTACAGTATTTCACATCATCAAATTAAAACTAATGCACTTACCATGCTGTTGAGCTCTGAGTCATCRTAGCTGTCTAATGGAGTCTCATGCATCCCAAGGGGCTCAAGACCTTCTTCATCCCACATGTAAGTCCCGCCAGAGCTGTTGGAGGGAGACATTTCAATAGATGAGGCCTGGAGGGCATCACCCTGCACTGGAGACATCAATGATCCTTGAGAGTCCTGCTTAGGGCTTTCTTCTTTATGTTCTGCAGAGAATACATAAATGTTAATTTAACATATATCTATTTGAATTATTCTGTTATTTCAGATGTTTTAGGGGTTTATTTTACCAGTAATTTGTTTAGACTCCCAGTCACTGGTCTCATTGTAAAAGCTGTATGCAATAGGTTGAATAGTGCTGTCAGTTTTCTGATTATTAGGCAAATCCCCATCATTGCACACATCTTCAATGCAGTCAAAGTCATTGAGAAACTCTTCAACGGCATCACCTCTGTCTATTGATGAGACCGAAGATAAGGACATGTCTTCTGAAGTCTCTTCGGTAYAGCTCTGCCCGTGCACACCATTTTCTCCTCCATTGGGAATTTCATTTCCAGAACTCACGTCACTTTCAATGGGAGAGTCTTCTTTTGGTTCACTGTTTTTTTCCRTCCTTAAAGGCCCTTCACATTTAGAGAAACCTAAAGATTTGATACCGTCTTTGACCCTATCTGGAACAATAGACTTCTGCTGTTTGTTCTGTCCAAATCGAGTCAGTCTGGAACCCAAAGATCCTGCGTTGTTGTCCAGTGATTTAGCTAATACAGAACTGGGTAGCAACRGCTTCTTCAAAGATTGAGGAGTATTTGGTGCTGGAGAAATTGAAGAGTTGGGCAGAAAGCAGGGGGAACTTCTGCTGTACTGAAGACCTCCAATTCCTCCCCCTTGACAACCTGAACCTCCAAGGCTGCCATTTATTCCTAAACCTAGTCTTCCATTGCTTGCCTGTGGAGGTTTGAGGAAACTACTACGAGGGGGTCGGAGCTGAGTGTTGGCCAGGGGCTTAGCTAGCTCCACAGCCCGATTAAAGGAGAAGGACCTTGTCATAGGCTCATTAGTCGGTGAGGGAATCTGCTTGAAGTGAGTGAAGCTGTTTGAACGCACTATATTGTCCACTGTCAATATCTTCAAGCTTTCATTAGACTGGGACAGACTGTCTTGGGAAGCACTTCTGGGCGAGCTTGTGCCTAACATTGGTCGGATAGGGCGCAGGTCTGGTCCTATTCGAGCAGGAATGCTGGAGCCATTACTGGGAATTTTAGTAACCCCATTTAGTGAGCTTTGACCTATTTTAGTTCCTCCTTTCGTACTCAACTTTAGGGGTTGCTTAGGAATGGCTTTGGGGCTGGAGACAGCCATCATCAAAGAACCTGTCTTGCACAACTTAGGGGTTGATGGAGAGGTAATCTTTACCTCTTTAACCAATGAAGGGAACTGACACTGAATATTGTCTTCRCTGCTTTCTCYAGGATTAGTAGCTGCGACAGAGTTAGAAGATTTTATTTGTTCCTCTCTCTTCCATTTCAAGGAGAAGGGGGAGGAGCGGACCATGCCATTTTGATGTGTTCCTGCAGTTGTAGTCTTGCCTTCCTGAGGTGCATTTGGCTGTGCAGAACCATTGCAGAGAGGGCTAGWGCCACCTCCTGAGGGTCGTCCACCAAATTTAGGCAATCTGGACACCATGGCAGGTCCAATGGATGCTTTTTCTTCCATTAGATGATGAAAAAACCATGGAGGAGCTGGGAACTACCCACAACTGTTGAGAAAAAAGAGAAAAACAAAATAAATAAAACATGGTTGATTTTAAGTGTATCCATCTTGAGTTAGCACACATAGCTACATAGCTTTTCAGACTTTTAATCTTTACAATTTTGCTCTGAYGTTTTAGTATTTTTATTGCCCCAGAAAAAACACTTTTTCATTCTGCAATWCTCAATCAATAATAGCTGAAAACAATAAAGGGGGTTATAAACTATACGTTTTGAAAGCAACACACTTTTAGGTGCAAAATAAACATGGGTCTATTGTGAATGCTATTGACAGCTTTGTTCAATWTGGCCATTAAGAACCTTAATGCAAAATGTTATGAACAAACAACAAAAACAAAAAAAATTCAATCTTGTTTAGAAACACAAAATAGGAAATGCAATCTGGCACACAGTACATGTGTGAACACGTGTTCTCACCAATAACTTTAAATTATTCAATAAAAAAGTAATAATGGTAAAGCAGCTGTGTCTACCTGCTTTAGTGCCTGTCTTCTTTAATAAGATTGTTGACTTTGAGTAGTATTAAGCTTTAACCGCAACCTCATGGTGTAAACAGAGGCTTTGACACATCAAGGTTATCATGACACTTTAATGTAACCAAATGACAGCCAAGTTTTCTCCTTTCGGTTGTTGCAAAATCACTAGAAATTGGAATTCATGAAAGGTAGCCCTCATCACTTTACTTAACCAAATAAGAAAAAAAATGTTTTTTGTTTTTGYTTTTTTTAGATGGCAAAAAAACAAAACATACAGAATAGAAAAAGAAAACTGTGCCATTGTTATGATTATGCTTTAAAATGATCTAACAATAACTCTGAGCTGTATTTTGAATCTCAACCAATGACAGCTGGAATAGGCTGCAAACTGGAGGAATTAATGAACAAATAAATACATGCATGAACAAATTTATTTATTCAAATAAATCCTAGAAATAAATTTCAAAACTTCAGCAAGGYTTTTTAAAGAGTGTAAAGCCAGACTTTAATAAAAAATATTAAGACATTATTTKCACACATGATCCAATTTGTAGCTAGAGCTAGTTCCATCAGATTTGGCGCCAACATTCTTGGCCAAGAAATAAAAGGGGAAAATGGATAGACAATCCATAAGAGACCAAGGGAAAGCAGTCCTGGGATGGTGGCCAGCATGCTGTGAATAGTGAATGGAGGATGTGCATCATGTAAAGCAAATGAAGGGAAAACACAAGGCTGTTTTCTCACTCGTTGGATTCATTCAGTTCTGATCAGCCATGTGACAAGTGTACATGTGTTTGTGGTGCACCTGCATGTTACATCCATCTGGCGAGTGCTGGAGTATCATGAATTAGAATGTAGCTCATATCCAGATGGCTTGTGTAGTTAACAGAAACCAAACCATCTGCATGAGGAGGAAAGCAGTGACTAAAAACTCCACACTCAGATTCTGCCTGCTGACTCTAGTGGAAAATTACCTATTGTTGCATGTCCACGGAAGAGCAAGCAGTTAATCCCACAAGAGAGAACCTCTTGACATACAGTTGCAAGGACACAAACTCAACTGCTGCAGCAATAACGCAGCCAGCTTTTGGAAAGATGGGGGATGGGACCGTGTTGCAATGTGAGTATCTTGTTCTGACAAAAAAAAACAAACTCTTTGACCCACATTCTTATGCAAAAACACAAACACCCACTAACCGCTACAGAAAAGTCTGCCTATCCCTCCATCCTAATCTGTTTCATACACACACACACACGGGTATAAACACAAAAACACACACTTACAAAATCAGGTCAACATGCACAAACAGGGTTACCAAAGCCTCTTTGCCCTGGGGAGGGGTTAGTGACTGTAAGTCTGGGTTTAATGGGTAGACTGGAGTTTTCACAACTGTCAGTCTCCCTAGAACTTTTCAAGTTTCATTCATATCAGAGCAGCAGAGCACAAACCGCTTTAGTAAATGCTCATTTATCTGGGTCAAATACTTCATCTCCCAGTAATAAAATATACCCGTTTCTGWTGACATTTATCTTATTCAATCGCATTTGATAAATCACAAAACATAGCTTCTATTTGTCATTTTATACTTAAAATGAAGCCAATCACTTACCACATATGTTCAGAATAWAATGATTCAAACAGCCAAAGAAGCAGTTTGCCTAAATTATAACTTTACAAATTATACAAAACATTGTTTGCGCTACAGAAAGAATACAGCTGTTACCCAGCTCTACTCACAGTAGAATAGTAAGATAAATGCCAGTGTCAACAGTGCCACAAAACAAGGCACAAGACCTTAACTTGACATATATTCAGAAGTGGGGTAGTAAACAATCCAGGCCATCTGTCAAACAGTCATATCTGCAGGTCTGCCCCTCCCTCTCACTAAGTAAATAAATATCCCAAAGCTTCACAAACACCAAACACAAGGCMTGCATAAAACCAAGCTTTGTCATGTCATGAGCTCAACTGTAAGAAAAGCAATGCCACTGGAGTCAGGACTATTCATAGTATATAACGAAAACATTACATCACATGAAAATCCCATTATGACATTATGATGAGTGGAGATGGTCTCCAACCTAATACAAATTTAGATTTACAGAGAGTTTTATTAATTTTTCTTTCCGTTCCATAACCTCACTATGGAATTTGCTGGTGATATTGATCAAACCGAGATGAACTTGTGGAAAAAGAATAGATAAAACATGAGAGAAGTAATGTGCAAGAGGCACAGAGATACTAAAATGCCTTCAGTTAAATAGAGTGATACTGAAAGGCAACGACACAAGACTCTGGACAGATTTTCCCTCAGAGAGGTCTTCTATATGACCTGTGACTTGGCACCTAAGCAGCTATCACTGTGAGTGAAATGAACCATAAAGTGAGATGACATATTTTCTTACTCACTGCCATAAAGGAATAAGGAGCTTTATCTCTGTCTGACAGTGAGGCTATTTGGCCTAACTCCATTTCCCACTCAGTAGAGAGCAGGCAGAAAATACCTCGTAAAGAAGCAGGAAAGTTGAAAACTCAAATMTGTAGAAGTGAGGCTGTTCATCCCCCTTCTGGGAGGGCTTTCAGACTCTGTAGAGAGTCGTTCTTCAAGAGTAAAAAGATGGATGCAGACAGGATGCAACACCCTAAGGGCTGTGATCTATTGGGTCATTGAGGCTACGCATGAATGGAGGTGCTTTACTACACATAGTAAATCCCCATTCCTTCTGTTTATCCCAGTTAGYCAATTTATCCCTATCTTCTGTCCCTATCATTACAAAACCTCAGAATAATGATTCCATTTCATAGTATGTCAACCTGTATTTATCTTTTATTTTAACCTAGCTCCAATTCTGCAAACCTTAGAAGGAGGTTGAGCATGATGGATAAAAAAGGAGAATAAGAATTTGGTTGTATGAGAATTTGTGGTTGCATGTCATGAAACCATTGAATTGTAGACACATAGATAATCTAAAATTAAACKGTCACTCTCATTTGTAGATTCAGACCATTTAATTGACAATAACTTATCAATACAATAGAATAAGTTACTTATTTCGTTCGTGTTATTTGCAAAAATTACATGTACAACAAAAACAAATACAAACAGAAAGTCAAGACACTCAGATTCAAATATTTTGTATGTCGTCTCAAAAACAATAAGTTGTTAAATTTTATTTTATTAAAAAATGTTTCAATGCTATAAAAATTTATAAGGGACCATCTAAAAATGATTGAGAAATATATTGCATTAGCATCTCTGCAGATGCAAATAATATTGATATTTGACTTTGCAAAATAATTTTGGTTCATATCYATATTTTCCAATTAGTGTTTTATATACAGCATTTATTTCTCTTGAGATGTCAGCATGGGGGTTGGGCCTTCGGTCCTCCACAGTCACTATTAAATATTCCATTGGAGAAATCTTGTATATACACGCATGTTCACAACCGCTCACAAACAGGTGTTCTGATCCGGGGGGGTCTGACTGGTCACTGAGTGTGTAGATATGTCTGTGTGTATATACTGACAATATTTATGAATGTAGGCATGTATGTACTTCAGGTGAGCGGACAGTTGTTGGGTGTGTGGTCCTGTGTTTTGTTGGTGTATATTTAATATATTTCTAATCCCTATTTCAATCTTTCTAATTACTTCTCTCTCTGTTTTTCGCTCTCTCTATTTTCTCTGCACTTTAAAAAAAGTCACTGATGATGAAGAAATAAATAAACTAAGTAAACTAATAATATTTGGTTTCGTTTACTACTGAAGTGACAAAAAAGAGATGTCAGCATCTTTAGACACTTAACGTTATTTTAATAGACAAAAAGGCTCTAAAGCAACAAATAGCTAAATCACATTTTCTCTGAAAATAAAAATTTTAATATTAAAATGCATATTGTCTTCACAGCAGCTTTGCCGGATGATTTTCTATGTCAGGACTATTCAATTGGGTTCTGTAACTGTACCTTTAATTGCTGGATGTTCTTCCCCTCAGCTGTTGACCTGCAGTAACTGTAGTCCCCAGAGCAATTTAGTTGAATTGCCCTGTCCTATGTAAACCATGGAACACCATAGAATAGTTTCCTAAACATAATTTATTTTAAAGGAATTCAAGTTTATCAGTTCCTTGAAGCTAWAAAAAGTAAACACAGAAAGAAGTGTAGAGGGAGACAGAGGAATGGGTGAAGCATTGATTAAAAAAAAGATAGAAAATATTTACAATTTTTGTACAGTTTATTTTTGGTGAGCTCTGATTACATGTACCTCACACCTTTTTTTTTTACCAATATATTAATGGTTATTTTAATGATTGCATTATTAAAGATGCAAAACCAGTGCATACACAGATCAATTTTTCCTGTTGGGCTGTGAATGTCATAGGCAACATAGCAGATGTGCCACTTGTTCATTTTTTTTACTGATCAATGTCACTTTTGCCTATTATTGAAGATGCATAAAAAGCATGTTAACCAGTCACAGCACATAGATATATATCTAAAAAAACAAA